CCACCTTTATCAGAATAATCAGCAACCGATCTGCATTCATTAGAGTGCTAAATGTGTCCCTGCAATTTGCTTGAGCAGACTGCAGGACAACTTTAAAATAATACTTTTGTAATTTGGGAAAAGCTCTTACTCATTTTCTTGCAAAGAGTTAGACATCACTCTCATACTGAATGTGTTTGCTAAATATAACGATAGAGTCAGGACTCTTAGAGACTACAAGTTTAGCTTAGCAGAAAGTTAGTGAGCATGGGGAAACAGCTAGCTAGCTAAGTTTGTGTAGCATCTAGGGGGATATATTGGCAGAAATTGAATATAATATTAAAAAGTATGTTGTCTTTACTGTATAATCACCTCAAAATAAGGATTGTTGTGTTTTTGTCACCTTACAATGAGGCGTCTATTTCTACATATGGAGCGGGTTCTCTTCACCATGTTTCTACAGTATCCCAGAATGGACAAACCACTCGCTCTTGATTGGGCCATTCGTTTCTTTTTGCGTTTTTTCATCAGCCAACAATGTTCTCCTACATGCTTGGCTCATGAGAGAAGCTTCAGTTGGTTGCAATCTGCAACCTCACTGCAAAATAAAGCCAAATCCTTCACACTATCCCCTGTTAAACCAACGCATGTCGTTCTTGTGCTTCGGTCTTTGTACGGATAAGCTAACCGTCTCCTGGCTATATCTTCATTTAGTCTACAGATAAGTGGCATCGATCATCTAACTCTCTGCAAGAAAGTAAATAGGTGCATTTCCCAAAATGTCAAATGTCAATCCATAAAGTGGCTTGTAAATCACATAAAATGTGGAACATCAATAATGACACATAATCTCCTGGCACAAAAGTAAAGGTATGTCACAGTTTTCCAGAAAACTATGTATAGGTTGTTTTGGTTTTGGCAGCTCACTCCTGAGTCCCAGGTGATATTTTTGGTTACCTGCTGCCATGAAGATACATCATAAAACGCCTCAGCCAACTTTAGGTCCTGCTGGATTTTTCATGTTTGCCTGTCTCTCTCTCAGCTGACATCTGAACCTCTTGAGAAATGTCTGTGTGTGACCACCGCCCTGTCTCTGTGCAGTCTTACAAGGCCTGAGCATCAAAGATGGTTGTAAATGTCTTATAGATGGGTGAGAATATCTGGGGGCAAAGGAATGTAACATGTCAAAAATAGATCTACAAGCTGTAGATCTACAAGCCACCCCTCTAGTAATCCCTTAGGTTTTTTTTCCCACACTCTAAACAGTGTTTCGGGGAAAAGGGTTTTTAATTGTGTATGTTCTGCCGACATTATGTTTGTTAAGATTGTTTAAAGCACTTTACAAGCCCTTGCATGAAGCTTATGGTGCGGCCAATTGCTAGTTTACTCCATTGTCTCTTATCTTTTGTCTTTTTCTTTTAGCCATTTCATCTGAAAATAAAAACAGTTTTTAAAATCTGCTGAATCTGAGCCTCAAAGTGTTGTTTGCTTTTCACGCTTGCTTTAAATGGACTTTATAGTCAGTTTTTTTTCCCTGTGACCGAGGTTGAGGGCAAAGTCACCTTAGATTCCCCTGAGCAGCCAAACGACAGTCAGACTTGTATCTAGACAACAGGGAGAAAACATCCCGTCTGGGGCAGATTTTCTACGGTCATGTTTGCGGAGGTCACACAAGACAATGTGGCTTTGGGTTATATTGGGTAATCTTTCAGCAATAAGCCTTACAGTACCAGCTGGCATTGCAGGCAGTCTCTTGTAAGTTGGATTCTATGAAAAAAAAGTATTTTATCGGTGATGTTATATTAGCACCTTGGTGTAATATTCAGTCTAAACACAACCGGAATTTAATTTTGAATCAAATTGAAGCTCAGCAAGGGCACTCTTTGATCAGAAGACTCAGATATTTATTGACTTAATTACTGTGCTTGTTACTCTTTGGATAAAGGAGGAGTAATAATCCACTCCTGAACTTCTGACGGGAACACAGGGTTGAAACTTTCTCACCCGCAGGTTTTTTTCAGTGTCAACAAGCCTTCGACCCATTGTAAGTTAGCAGACTGTGTGAAACATACAGTATTTGCTATGTAACTGTATATTGCACTGATACAATGTTTAACAGCTCTGTGTGGAAGAAAGCAGCCTGGACAGCTTGAAGTTAGAGACTGGGCTTCTTACCAATGTAAATCACTCTTGAAATGTCACTTTTTCTTTTTGCCCCCTGGCCAACAAAAACCAACTCATGATATAACAACGTCCAAGCTGCCCCAATACAATCACCGTTTAATATTACAAAATACAAAAAGACTTACTTTCATATCAATAAGTATTCTCTTTTATCAGATTTATACTTGGCATGGCTGGTTAAAAGAACCGTCCAATAGTTTGGGAAGTGCGATTTGCTTCCTTGCCGAGAATCGTTGAGAAGATTGATGCCACTAACTCTCAGCGAGGATGCAAATAAGGGTATTTCCCAAAATGTCGAGCTACTCCTCAAATTGAAAAAGTAACAGAATAAATGCACATCCAAATCCAAACTACCACGACCACCCTGTGAACAACTTGATACACTCTACTGTCTCATCTTTCAAACTCCTAAAAGTTTTAGTCTCCTTAAAATCACATGAGAGCTCTTTTTTTCATTCGTCCACTCACATGCTACTGATCTGTTAGTGACTTTCCCATGCACCGTGGATGCTGCCAGCGCAGTAACAATAGCCTTGGGTGGAGCGCACAGCTGAGCTGCAGTTTACAGCGTGTGCTTTGATTGCTTGAATACTGGACAGAGCGAGGAGCCATCCTTTAGAGATTTAGTTATTTATTGAATTGTTCAGGTCAGGTCGCTATGCTCCAGACATGGGCCGAGAACTGTCCAAGAAGACTTATTTGCTTTAACTTGCATGAAAAACAGACAATTGGTTGTTTTGATCTTGGATTTATTTTTCACATGCATACTCTTCAAAACCATGCAAATTCTATTTACTCAAAATCTTTTAGTTTTGAATTCTTCTGCCTTCATTGGATGAAACTAGAATCATAACCAATGCAACCCTTGTTGAATCTGTCTATTCTCCTCTTTCTTGCTTTCCCTCTTGCTCACCACTGCACCTCATTCTCTCTCCTGTCCTGGCATCAACACTGGGCTTCGAGAGGCCTCCGGAGAGGGGGAAAGCATGGGGGAAACTTGGAACAATATATTGTAGGTAAATAAATGCTTCGTCTGAAAAAGAATGCCTTTCCAAAACAGACCCAAGGCCCCTTCGTAGCACGTGCCCCAAATAATGCCCTAATTACGCTGATAATATGATAATAAAGCTTCGACCTTATTCGAAGTCACTGGGTTCACTGCGCAAACAAGTAGCAGCACTCTGAGACTGAGGGGATATCATCTGGGGCCTTGAGGAGACTGCGCGTGAGGAAACTGTGCGTGTTTGTGTGTTTGTGTGTGGGTGAGAGAGAGAGAGAGAGAGAGGGAGCAAGAAAGATACAGCGAAAGAACAGTATTCTATAAAATCCTGGTTTTCCACAATGAATCAGAATGTTTGACTCAATTGTTAAGTTTTTGATCAGAGGCCTTTGGCCAAATAAACATGATAGTGTGACATGCTGTGAAACAGGTGTATGTTAAGCTAATCTGATAACCCTGACAACAATATCGCTATAAACCCGGGGATAGGATCTCAGTGCTGTGCTGATCCGAATCTTTGGCTGGCGGGCCGTGCTGGCTGGAGAGTGGCCTGACTATTGATACCAGATGAGAGGATGAGTCAAAATACTGAGCAGATGGTGCATAACAGAAAAAAAGAAAAAAAAAAAAAACCAAGTCATATGTCAAAAGATATTCCAGGGATTAAATCAATATATTGGAGGTTGGGTATAGTTTGATAACAACTTTAAAATATAACAAAGCGCAGTTTAAAAAACAAAGTATGCTAAACAGTTGCTCTGTACAAATCGTATCTTTCACTACAAGTATGCAAAGTCACCAGAGCTGATGGACTAGTTGAGATCTTCAATCCAATACCTTTACATTTTTAAAGTTTTTCCTGACAAAGTGTCCTGGGCATTAAGCAGAGCCCTGGAGCAGGTCTAGAAAGTAGAAGTATTCAACTAATCTGTCATGATTTATCTGACCACTTTCCATCCCAGTGAAACCTCCAGTCTGTCGAGGGAAAGCAGCAGTGGAGAGAAGGAGCTGAACTGTATAGATGGAGTGAAACAGAGGAGAAAATCTTGAGTGATATAGCCCTTCCACCAGTTCCAGCACCTGAAAAGTCCATCACTTCCAAGACGACTCTTTCTGGGAAAGCGCCAGTTGTCGGCAACAAGAGAGAAGGAGCGAGAGAGAGAGAGAGAGAGCTTGAGAGAGAGAAGAAAAAAGGGAGGGGAAATTGTTCCTGCGTCACGTTTCTTTAATTTGTTCACCAGCTGCCAATGAAAAGACCTGCAGCGCCCCCCCCCCCCCCCCTTTTTGGCTCTGCATCTGTCAATGAATATGACAAAGAGGACTGATATGACACATGGACCCAGCTCTGATTTGAGTAATAAAACTGCTGGCTTCCCCCCCCCCCACCATGAGTTTATGTGGCTGTCCTGACCGGTGACCAGTGACCAGTGGAGCTTGTGGGATGTTCAAATTTTATCAGCAGCAAATGTAGCTGTGATGTGACAAAGATTGTCAAAAACTTCAATCATGTCACTTCCAACAATATTATGAGATTTGGAGAAACCCAGATAAAGTCATATGCTCTAAATACCTTGATGTACTTTATGAAATAAAGAGTTGTCCTTCAACATCCAGCAAGCTTCACAAACCTAAAGCAGATGTCATGATAACATTGAGATTTGCCACGAATGGGTTAGGGTAGACCAAACATATAATGTGTTTCAGGTGACCTGGAGGGGCTGTGCGTCTACCTCCGAGACAGACGCACTTCCTGCGACGTCCACTGCCATAGCCTGCCTATATAAACCCCCATAGACGGACTTCTCCTGAAGCACTCACACAGTTTGCAAAGCGCAAAAGCTCCAGACTTTCCCTCCCTCTCTCCAATCCGTTACTGAGGCTTTCGAGGTGTCACAGCCTTGGCAACGCAGGCAACAGGGTACCGCTGCGCAAGAAAAGGTAGGACCAAAGACTGTGTGAATGAATGTCACTGGTATTTCTGTATTATAAAGTAGTACGTCTAAAGCATGTCTTTTTTTTTTTTTGTAATTGCAATGCATCTTATTTGTGCGCACCACAACAACGCTTAAAGTTTGTCCTCGTGTTTTCTTTTCAGATCACTCCTAGACCCGGGATATTGCGCCCGCAGTTTCCTAAAACCGAACATGAAACCTGAGTTATTTGCAGTAGACTTAATACTGCTGTGCTTATCTTGCGGAGCAAGTGCATTGGCAACGACTATTCCTGCTGTCTCCACGTTCTTGCCTGCCGCCAATTTCACCAATCTTGGCGCAGCGCACAGCTATGGGTCCGATATCACGACTATTTCTAAAAGCAGGAGGAAGCGTTATATTAGTCAGAACGACATGCTCGCTATTCTTGACTACCATAACAAAGTAAGAGGGAAGGTGTTTCCCCCAGCGTCCAATATGGAATACATGGTGAGTGAAAGCTTTCCTTCAAACTGAATTATTTTTTAATTTTCCAGTCAATGCAATTCTTGGATCCATGTAGCATATACCTCCTCTAATGTTTCATTATTATGTTCACTGGTCTGGAAGTGACCAAAGTGCATGCATTAAGTATAATCTTTAATGATGGAGAATCTGATTTTTATAGCTGCAGTTTTGCACAGAAGTAAAGTGACACATTTCTTGAAGTTTCTTGCCACCTTGAGCTGTTAAGCAGATTGCAATACAGGAGACCACCAAAGTAGTCACTTCCGAAGGAAGAGGGGTCATGTATAATACCAGTAGCCTGCTGGCGAGTAACATGGAGAGAGCTGTCGTGGCCCCTTGATGGAAACGTCTAAATCAGAGTTTTAATTTCACCATATTTCAGCCCCAAAATAAAATGTGGAGGTGTGAAGCAGTATAATGCTAGTTTTCCTTTTGAATGGTTGTTCCAGCAACTGTTTCAGACGAATGAGCTGACATATTTCCATTGATAAAATTGGCAGCGTCTCCATCCTCTATAGCTGAACTGGCAATAAGATGACAAAATGACTGTAGAATGAAGTAATCGGAGGCAGTCTCCTCATTTCTCCAGTCGCAGTCCATTCCCCACGAAACCATACATGAGTGTGACTGTTGACAAGTTTGGGTATCTGGTATTCTTAAAGCGATGCTGTCCAACTCCCTGTCTATTCGGTGAAAGAGCGACATCGGACACTAGGCAACTAACTCTGATTTGATGGATGACTTTTGTGTCTTGCCATGGCAATGCCTGTAACAGAGCTATGAACTCAAGTGCTGACTCTTATGTCACATCTCACTGCTGAATGAGAATCTAGTGGTGATATTTTCAGTTATGTGATGGGTTTCCATGTTCCCTGTGTGTGTAGGTGTGGGACGACACCCTTGCTAAGACGGCCGAGGACTGGGCTCATGCCTGCATGTGGGAGCACGGGCCACCTCACCTCCTCAGGTTCCTGGGTCAAAACCTCTCCGTCAGGACAGGACGGTGAGTGACCTTTGACTCCCCCCAGCCCCCCCTCCCCGACATCTGCTGCTCCTCTGAGGGATGACTCTCTCTCTCTCTCTCTCAGCAGTCATGGTCGTTGCCTTGCCGCCCCCTTCTTCTTTCTCCTAAAGGTTTTTGCACTGTGACCCGGTGACTGCTTGAGGAATGCTCCTGTGACCATTCAAATAAACACAAGTTGTGCTTTCAGCCATGACCCCTGAGGACAAAGGCGCATCCCTTTAGTGGGTCTTGACTTTCCATTTGGAAACACAGGGCACCTTCATATGTTCCTTTTTCGATTTTATTGAGGAACAACATGAGACTCAAGGGAATACAGCTTATTCTGACTATTCCTTGTGACTCGCTGAGAGTTCTACAGTGAGGTTATTTCCTAACAAATCTACAGGATCTAAGTAGTAATACCATTTTGTTGACTTACATAAATGTAGAAACAATTATTTAATTAGTTTATATAGTTTGACTAACTTTTCTGTGAATTGGAATTCACTGAATGCACTGCACTGTCAGCATTTTCCAGTGCAGAGCGTGTTTGAATATCTTACAAATAAACCTTGAATTCATTGCTGTTTGGCTGCAAACCCTGAAGCTCTGGGGCATCTTCAAAATGCCCACGTTGATGTGCTGAAATGTGGCCAGTTTGTCAATCTTTCATTGTTATTGTGGTCAGAGTAGCGTGAAAAATGTAGCAGATGTTCTAAAAACCATAACAACGACCGTTCATGGTGAGTCTCAGTACACAATGCGACAATGTATATCCTGAAACACCGTAATGACTCTGAAATTTGAAAGAAAAAAAATCCAATCGAATTCACAAGATATATTAAAACAAAGTTCGTGGCAAGTTACTAGATTTCAATGACTGTTTGAGGAAACAGAAACACCTTGAAGGGTATTGAAAACCTCAAACGCTTCACCCACAGAATCAGGATTGAGATTAGAACCCAAAAGCTTCTTAATTCAAGATCTCATTTTTCTTAAAATATATTGACAAATGACAAATCAGACGTAATCAAGGTTTGAATCTCAGCCTGTATATTAGTTCCTTATCACCAGTTGTGACAAGTTGTGCAGTGTAGTTTTCTGAACATGTCTGTCTTCTGTTCACAGCTATCGATCCATTCTCCAGCTGGTGAAGCCGTGGTACGATGAGGTCAAAGATTATACTTTTCCATACCCCCGTGACTGCAACCCTCGATGCCCTCTCAAATGCTACGGGCCCATGTGTACCCATTACACACAGGTACAAAGACAACAATCGGCATTACATGTAACACTGTTGAGCTGATGTAACTATGGCATTAACTGGCTGTCTTTTTTTTTTTGGCAGATGGTGTGGGCAACATCCAACAAAGTTGGCTGCGCTGTTCACACGTGCCATAACATGAATGTATGGGGTTCAGTGTGGAAACGGGCAACGTATTTGGTTTGCAACTACTCACCCAAGTAAGTACGGCCGATCTTGTATGGTGTTAATTACATGCTGTAAGGAAGCCCGTTGTTTCTAATGAACCTGCTAACCTTATGACGATGTGGTGACGGCAAGCTTAACCCCGACACAGGCGGCTCTGTTCTGTGCCGAGTTGTGAAATGCCACCCATGTTGCTGGGAGATTCAGATAACCTCGATACAAGCCTGTGAACTGGTACCGCATTACCAAAGCTCAGAAGAGCCACGAAACAGAAGAATCAAAGCCTGTTTGGACTTGTGACTGACTTGTGACCTAGGTTCTTTAATCCCACTTGTTTGAGACATATGCGAGAGTAACAGGCTCGGGACATTGATGACCTATTTTAGTTTGCCAAATGAAAAAAAAAGCCACAAGTCTGTGAATTTGGATGAGGCTGTCTGCTCTGCAAAAGTCACTGTATGTGAATAACTTGATGCAGCTATGAAACCAGCTGGCACTGACACTAAAAATGTGGCTGGTTTCCATTTATATATTATAAGATGTCCTGACACACATACTGAACATTGATTTCTCATTTGCTGACAAAGTACAGATTGCTAAATAAGTGATATTCTGCTCTGGACAAAACAATCTCATTGTAATATTATTTAAATTTCATCTCAAGGGTCATTTGGTATCTGTTTTGGAGCTTTCGATCACATCAAATGATCTTCATCAGCAGATAGCTTGTCATTGGATTCCAGATGTTTGGATTTACTTTTTTTCTGAGCACTGTAAGGGCTTCAGATGAAGATCATGTGATATGAGTTAGAACCTCAGCACCGCTACTAAATGGACATTAGGATGGGACTGCACTGCTGTCTCCAATGTCTAGAATGAACATCAATAAACAGTATTCTTTAACTTCTTGGGATTAAGTATCTTGACAACCCACATTCATTCATTCATCATCTTTTACGCCTGCATTTTAGGCATTTTTAGGCAGAATTTGTGTTCTAAAACACGCTCTCTCGTCACCTCCAACTCCATTGACACTGTAAATGTTTCTGTCCTCCAGGGGTAACTGGATTGGAGAGGCTCCCTACAAAGTAGGAGTACCCTGCTCCGCCTGCCCCCCCAGCTACGGGGGCTCCTGCAGCAACAACATGTGCTTTCCCGCTCTCAAGACAAACTACCTGCACTGGTTCAAATAAACACAGGTTTCCTCTTGACATAAGCTGACAACCTACAGTACCACAGAGACATTATTTTAATCCCGTAAAGATTTGCACAAAAAGTCTTGGATCACACTATTTTGTATATATGGGCTTTATTTAAAGACACAAACATACATTTGAAGGCAGCGAACGATTTTGATGACTTGTACATAAACTGTAAATGAATTTGTTACATGGCTATTTTCTAATTGATGAAATAATAATTTATGTATAGAATGGGTCCTTAGACACAGAATATACTATATGTGGTGCTGCAAATTTCACTGTTCGTTTACCATTGACAATGTGGTAATTAAGGACATAACACGATCATAGCTGCTCATACCTGCTCACTTTGGTGCTACGGGCATCACACCTCCATGTCGTGTGCTCTGCCTTCACAGGAATGTTGTGATATAAAGATCAAAGCTTCTGACCTCAGAGGGTAAAACCTACACTGTCAGTGTCAACTTTGACATCATACTCAACTCTATTGCAATTTCCATTTGTGTCCTGCAACACATTGTTGCCGAAAAGTGCACTTACTATTAATGCTAGCATAGATGACGCCTCTGTTAGTCTGAGCAGTTTAAATCCGTGCAGATTGGTTTTGTTACATAGCAAATGTTTCACAGGTTTCATTTATACTTGTATTATTATTCATACAATAATATTCATGTTGAAGAAGCACACGCAATAAATCAAGCCCACATATCTGTTTTATAGTCATATTTGTACGCGGTGTATTGGTATATTTTATACCAATATATTGATTTATAGGACAAATCCATTGTTTATATTTTGTTATGATCACTGATGTAGTTTGGTTTTTTGGAGTTAGGCACTTAATTTTGAAAAAAAATCTGAAATACCAGGATTTGTTTTGTTTTGTACATGTAGATAATCATTATACCTTGACTATCCTAAAAAAAGTATACTGTAAGTTATTCATTTTTATATGGGAAAATATTTAATTGATACAATTTTGTATTGTTTGTAAAAGGATTGTAAATATATCTGAATGATTAAAAAGTACTGAATGTGGTTCATTTGCATGTCAGCTTTTATAATGTTGAAGGAAATTGACTATAATGTTTTGTAACTTGGTACATTTGAACCAAGCACTAGCGTTATATATCGACAAGCGAATGCCTCAACGTTTTTAATTTTAGCAAATGTGTCAGAGTCTCTTTTCCAATCGGGACAGTTTCTGAGAAGGACATGATCCAAACTGAAGTGGGAGATGATGCTTTACAAAATGGGAACATTTACCGCACTGACTGTATTTAAATCAACAACAAGCTATTTATGCAATGAACTGAGCTTTCCCTGTTGTGACTTGTATTTTTAATAAAATGGTGTATTTTGATTGTGTCCCTTTATATTCTTTAGAGCTGCTCTAAACAATAAAGTTGTTCTTTATGCAAGTGTTGCTGACGTTTTGACCTCATCAAACCTTTTCCCTTCACCATGCACTTTGAGTTGTACCAGGCAACCCCCACTCTGCTTTTTTTTACTTTGTTCAACCAATGGCTTTCCTCTGTCCAAATCAGCATCATTGCACTTTGTCTGTGGCTGTGTTGTCTTAGCTCTTCCTAATGTCTGGCCACAGTTTCAATCCAGCTCTTTGATTCTCAGCTTTAATTTTCAGAAAAAAACGGTGCCATTGCAAAGTCCCACATCCTGCATATCAAAGGCTGCGAGGGAGAAGAGAAAACATGGTTGGACTACATCTGAATCCTAATAAGCAAAGGTTGACTTTGGCCCCGTTGGTCCATGTCTACACAAATGAACAGACAACTGACAGGGTTTCAGGGGACCGTCTTGTCTTGAGTTTGTCCAATGAAACCACTGACCTCAGAGGGAGAGACAGGGAGCAGAGTATAATGCTAGAAGCAGAGAGAGGGAGAATGTGCGACACCATCATACATAGAGACTAAATCAAATGTGGCCAAGTTGAAAGACTGTCTGACAGAATTAGATATGTTCTTGCTCTACAGCTTTAAATTTTGTGTGCAGAGGATGATGGAGAAGTTGGTAAGAGGTAGGAATAAACAAAAAAGGGGAACCATACTGTTCTGATGTGCTGGGCAGATGCTGAAGTTTCTATTTCTCCAGCTGGGATTGCAGGATATGGTTCTGGGCGCAGCCTGAATCAAAGTTATATGCATGAGATTTACAGGTTTCCAAACAATCAAATTAAACCTTGCATTAGTTCGAGCAGAAAACGTCTTTGAAACATTTGCTGCACTGCAATGCGCTTTGGCAGGTTGGAATACAATGCCTCACATTTTCATGCCAAACTTTGTGAAGCGGGACGTTTTTTAAACCATTTCCTGCACTTTTTTTAAGAAGCGTCATCTACGCAAACCAGCACAGTCCCTGGAAACAACCACCAGAGAGGTTTTTGAGGAACATATTAGTATGCATGGGAAAAATCCTTCTGTCTGAGCCAAATGCCTGAGCCAGAGCTCAGGCACACCATGAGCAGGATGCTGCTGCTGACATTTAGCTGGCTTATCCATCAGTGGCAGAGGCAGAGCAAAGGTTAAAGATATGGATTTGGGTTGAGATGAAAGTAGCCTGTGATGGTACCCTATCACCACAATGTCAACTGAAACTTGTTTTTTTTTTCTTCAGCTGACACTTGTACTTCTTTCAGATCTCATATTTCCCCTTAATTTCAACTACATACTCTCACTACTCCAACTCACACAACCTCCACAGTTCATACACAACTTGTTCCAACAGCTTTTCAGCCCACGCACTTGAACTGCCTTCAACACTTGCACATCAACTGCCTTGTCAACTGCTTTCCTCTCTTACTCATCAAATGATAATCCATCTGCTTTAATTTCATTCTTTACAAATGACATTTCAACTGCTTTTACAATGTAACACTAGAATGACATTTCAAACCCGTTCAGGGTTCATAAAAAAAACTTCAGCTCGTTTAACTTCCACAACTTCCACTGTTCATCCGCAATTCATTTCAATCTGCACTGAGCTGACTTGAAGACCAAGAAGAGGGAGAGAGGAACGCAATCAGAAAGACAGGAAGAAGAAACAGAGATTTCCAGTCTCCAGTTGCTGCAGCAATAAATCCTATTCAACTAGTTTATGCTATCAGCCAGTGCCAACACCCACTGAGGCCACGATGATGCATCTGCAGCTCATCCGAATGTGTACCACTTTTCCTAATAACACACGTGAATTACTGACCTGTCGGATAAACTGTTATTGCTAAAACAGTTTTGCCTCCCTCAAGTGTGAAGGTGGTGAATCGTTTATTTGGAAAGAAGATGGAGACTTCGCAAGGACTACGGCAGGGTGATAGATTATTAACAGGCAGAGGGTGAGGTTGGGGGAGTCAGTTTACAAAATGTACAAGCAGCCATCCAATTCTAATAATGGTGAGAAGTGTGAGATCGAGTTTGAGTGAGTACAATGCTGAAAAAGGGGGATAAATCTTTTGTAGAGGGAGCTTGTTAATAGTTAGAGGCTCGCTGATGTTTGCTGTGCAGCTGCAGAACAATCTCCTCTCCTCTCCTCTCCTCTCTGTACTCTACAACCTCTCTGCCCTCCCTGACTAAAAGCACTGAATGGTTGACAACTTGGCCTCTCTGTACCTCGAGGGGGACATTGGGACTTCTTTTTAATTCATTGCATTTTTTCTCTGTTGGAAGCACAACAGCTATGTTTATTTTGCTCCCATTGCAGCCCAACCATCTGAAATGTAGCCTGTCCTCAAACCTCCCCAGAATCTATCACTGGGACCACAGTTTGAGGACATCTGAATGGAGCTGGAGTTAATGCTCAATGTAGAAAAGAGCTGCAAAGGCTGCTGTGCATAGCACACACAATAGGAAATTACCTTTACAAAACAAGATCAACTCATGGTCCACCTGTTTGCTTTTTCTGGAGCTTTTGGCCACACACATCACACGCTCTTCATCAGCAGATAGTGTTATCTCGTTCCAAGGCCAAGACTTTCAAACTCACCAAATTACCTTCATATTTATTTTTTATTTGGATGAAAGAGAACATATGGGATGTGTATGTAATGTCATTTAAAATATAATGTTTATGTATTGGCAGGATGTTTAGTAGAAGACAGTTGCATCAAACATGCATGCATGTACATGTATCAGCATTTTATGTTATCATAATCGTCATTATTATGGCCACTTGGCCACTTTTTTACATATTGCAGTGAAAACATCCACAGATAATTGTGATAATAACTTTTAAACTGGAAGGCAAACTTGCTACTTATATTCATAACTCTGACATGTGCTTAGGTCAGGCAGGAGTAAGTTGACATTATGTGTTTCCCAGAGACTGATGTCAGCTACTTGAAGTATCTTTTGGGATCTCCTCAAATGTTAATGTGTTCATGTTAAAACACTTTCGTAACCATAAATCTCTCGGGGCAGCAGAGTTAACTGCAGGGCTCGTTTTTCTGCACTGCTTCTTTTGAGTTGGATTCCCTTACTTCAAACAAGGAGTAAAAAATAACGTTTTTTAGATACACAAGTCATTTGCGGTGTCTCATGTGACTATTTTGGTCTATAATAGTGTTGATTTAGGAGAGTGCCGCCATAACATGTGGGGGAATATTCATTTATCCCACGTTTTCATGGTGGAATTTACATGTATTCCCTATGCTAGTAACGTGCTGATGCTTCATCCATAAGCCACAATGAAATAAGACTTTTCAGTTTATGTTATGGTCACTTTTCTCGTCTAGTGACTTTTCTGTGGCAAAGTAAGTTCATCACATGCTCTAGTAAAATACATATAAAGCATATCTGGCATACTTCAGTGTAGATATTACATTTTACGACGACGAATGACGTAAGCTGCTGCAACATAGTAAAATTGTATAGTCTGTATTCAAAGTAATGACATGCTTTTAACCCAAAATGTCCGACCCTGGCACTGTTTATCTCCACCACAGTGGATATAAGAATAAGTCTACAGTATGTCCAACCCTGAGACAGACTGGACTTGACCCTTCTGTTGAAGTCCAAGAATATAAACTGAGGCAAAGGTCGCTCGTGTTCGGTGTTTGCCCTCCATATCCTGCTGTCGTCTTTGTCTTGGATGGAGCCACGTTTGCCTCCTTGCGGGGCCTAGCAGGGACTTCAGACAAACGACATCCTGCAGCTGCAGGCCAAAATCAATGTCCTCGGAAGCACAGCGCTGCATAATCAGATAGGCTTTTCTCCTTCACTCTCTTCTCTCTTTTATACCTGTAGTCCACAAGCTCACAGGGGGCTTTGATGCTCGACTGGCTTATAGAACATTTACCTCGTTGTACTCATGGTGTATTGTAGCATTACATGATTCCTTCTAATGGGATATTCTGTACAAAGACAAGACATTCACAAATGTGTGTCTCTTCTGTTACCTTAACTCATGAAAACAAACTTAACTCATATTTATGACAAAGTGAAAGAAAAAGTGTTTTGAAATGTGTCAAACCAGCCCACATATCAAATCCAAGAGAGGGCATGGTTTTTTCATGCTCTCCAGAAGACAGTCGGCATTTGGCATTATTGGGAAATTTCTTGGTTAGCACCACCAGCAGCTATCCATTCAGCATAGAGAAGCAAAGACCACTCTGAAATAAGGCGATAGGAGTTTCTGATAGAGTTACTTAATTCAAACATCTGCAAAATAAGACATAAAACAGGGGGAGTTTGGTACTGAAGGTTACAGCAAGCTGAACCTGACATCTAGTGGTTATGTGAACAGTGTGCTACAGTAGTCTGAATCTATTAACTTCTGTTCAGGAGGATAAACACAAGTGTAATTCAAGGACTGCTGCACATCATATGATGATACTGTAGGTTAGATTATCTTTAATTTGTCACAGACAGCACTGTGGAAAACACACAGAAGTATACACACAATAATACTTGCACGTAAATGATGTTTCATGAGGAGGATATTGAGTTGATAGAAGGAGAACGTGTGAACGTGCAGGTAAAATTAAACATGACAGATTTTACATACAAAGATCAACTTCATATCAAGATAAACATTACAGTTGATGCATTGTTCAAGATCGAACAATCAAGCAGTATATAAAATAATAACAATAAGCTCCTTCACCATCTACAATGTAAAAACACATTTTATAAATTGTACACATTAATGAATTAGTAACAATAATCCAGTGATATAATTTAACATTAATCAGGGTCATTTTCCCACAAAATTAGTACTTTTACTTTTGATACTACTTTTACCAAAGTACAATTTAGAATTTCATTTTTAATGGCGTATATTTACCTCGTGGTATTTGTACTTTGACTTAAGTTAATGTATCCTTTACTTAAGTAAAAGTACAAAAACCCCTTCAATATTGAACATCGTGAACATTAACACAACAGGGAGACAAGACATTTGAACCCAAGCCAACAATAGATTAACAGGATTTTTTTTATTTTAAAGGCAACATTCAATGTTGTGGTATTAACTCTACAGTAACACATGTGAACCAAACACAGAGCAACTTACAGCACATTTTCCTCACAGATGCATTGGCATCTCTTCACCACAAGGGGGTAGAGGCAGACAAACTAAGCCCAACAGACCTGAAGTAGATATCTGAGGCAGCCTTCTGCTGAACACTGCTGATAATGTCACAAAAGCAATGAATCATGTAGAACGTCTGCCAAATGACCCTGATGCTCTTCACTCCCAACTCCGTGACCTCAATCCAGCTCAACCAGAACCATTAGGGAGCAGCGTGCCAGATAACGTGGGCCAACGAAAAGTGTTCTTCAAGTGTGTTTGAAGTGTGAGGCTACTGTTGTATGGATGCCGAGTCTGGCTCTGTTGATGCATTCTGCTGGGTTCATGGGGTTTTTTCGCAGAACCTGAATAGAGGATGTACCAAATGGAGCATCTGGACCTGTGGCTCAACCATGACTGTGTGGGTAAGATAGAAAGAGCAAGGGAGGGGGTAACAGTGAGAGAGGGAGAGGGGGGAAAGTGTGTGTAGACAGGTAGAGAGGTCAGGTATAAAAAAAAAAGAAAAATGTGAAATATTTAGACTGACAGCAAAGAAATAGAAATAGAAGGGATGAAAGGGAGAACTCTCAAGAAAGGCTGTTAACACGAGAAGCCCAAGCATGAAATCATTTATATTGCTCTACCGCAGCCACAAATAGTGTATATTTACTGGCAGGCATTGTAATAAACATTAATCAGAGAATGTCTTGTCTCTTACAGATGGCTTGACCTAAATTACCACACTGTAAATCATCCAAATCCCTGAGCAGTTGGTAAATATTTCCTTATCCACACAATTTCATTTTATAGTCAGGGTCAGAGACATGCTCTTACAGTCAGTCTTTGTGTATTTCAGTCTTAACCTTAATGTAATATAAGTCATGTCATATCCCAAGCCCATAAAACTTATTTTGAGTCTTTAAAATAATTGCATGTTTTATGTATTGACTCATATATTTATGTCATGATGGCAAACCAACACACACACATGCACCATGTCACTCACCTCTCCTCTCACTCTTACTGTCAAACACACACACACACACACACACACACACACACACACACACACACACACGCACACACATTCTTCCTCCCTGTCACAGACACATCTAAATGTAGAGCAGCATTAATTCTAGAGCAGATGAATGAGTTTTTTCGGCGGTGCTTCCCTCATGGGAGTTACAGCGTTGCTATTTCAGCTGTAGGGTAAGATGGAGGGAGGGGCGGGGGGGGTGCTGCCAGGTCTGACCGCAGAGAGAGGGCCGCTGCTGGGCCTGTGACCGAGGCCCCTGCTACTGACCCAGGGAGCAGACAGTAAACCCTAGGTTTATGGAAGTTCAGAATGCGGTGGGTCCTCAATGTGAGAGCTCTTGTATCACATTCTGTACGTATTCAGAAGTAGGTTAGACAGCAGAGGCCCCCTGGAAGACAGTGTTTTATGTACATCTACGGTGCTCAGTATGCACTGGTGCATCTTAACTAAGGGCAGTAGAATGTAAATTATCAAGTACTGTACCTATATTTTGAGGCACTTGTGCTATTTCAGAGGATGATATTGAAGTTTTTCCTCTACTACATTTAACTGACAGTTAGTGGTTACTTTTTAGATTTTACATAAAAACAACACAATGATGAGCTTATGAAATACAATGCATTGTTAAAGATTAAATGAGTGGTTCCCAACCTTTGTGGCTTGTGACTCTTTACAAACAAACCAACACATAAGAAGTTAGCAATTCCACAAAAGAGACCCCCACTGGGTCACCTGATGGGACCCATAGGTTGGGGACCACTGGACTAACTGAAGTAAGTAAAACTAACTTCACCTCGACAGCTATAGCATTACTGCATCAGTATCAACAACCAAATACTGTAATAAATGATAAACATAAAGCATAATATAGTAATATAATATACGTTTTGATACTTTAAGTATATTTATCTTTACTTTTACGACGTGATTTTGAATACAGGACTTTTACTGTCAGTGGAGTATTCTTACATTGTGGTATTGGTACTTTTACCTAAATGTTGAGTACTTTTTCCACCACTGACTGGAGGATTCTCAAAATCTAGACTGTATTGTATAGTTTTAAGTGCAATGGAATGCCTTGTCTTTTCTCCTCACAATCTACCAAACCATGTTTTCCCAGCTTTCCGGGACCGTGCTGAATGTGAAATATGGCAGAGATCACAAAACTCAAAAATATCCATAACTGAGTGACAGAGCTAACCATTCAGTCCCTGACTCACCTAATGGGTATAAGGCATGAAAACATAAGGGAGTCATGGAAACAAGGGGATTTACTGAAAAATACAGAGCAAAGGTACACATGGTCGGCTTGGCTAGCGTTTGGTTTATTATATTTGTCAGGTAAAATACAAAGATTGTGACGCCCCCAGTGGAAATTAAGTCTGTAAGCAAACACACAGAGGCCTGGTAATTTGCTACTGTTTCCACATGTGCAACAGCCACCGCTGAAAATGACCAGATGACAAAAGACAAAACCTGCCTGTTTTCATTATGGATATTGTACGGTGTTGCAGCGGGAACGGAAACAGTGACGATGAGTTTGGGGATTGGAATTAACAGAGAGTCGGTTTGTGTTTTAATCCCCCTAAGAAGTCACCTGTGAACAGTCAGAATGGGGCCACTTTTGCTTGCAGGCCCCACAGTGGAGGAAGATCTGGTTTAAATGAATGTATTTTTGAACCAAAGCCAGTTAGGGCAACCGTCAGTCAACAACCTTTAAGTACATGTTACTGTTCTGAGGATGAACCACTATCATTAAAACGATTATCATATAAACTACAAATGTTATATACTTATTATAATACTTGAGAAAAAAAAAAGATTGGAATATTACAGACATATTTAAGATCTACTACCACAGACTTTGTGGTGGTTTTGCCTCTTTTTTGTTCTTGTTTTGTGTCGTAATGCATCTTTTTGTGGTGTTGTGTCGACTTGTAGTTGTTTTGAGTCTCTTTGTAGTTCTTTCTCTCCCTGGCATCTCTCCCTGGTTGGTACACCTCTCCCCAGACATTTTTGCATGTAAGGCGGAGGGGGGGTTGCATGTTCTTGCTGGGTAATAGGGACTTTGTGGGCATTTGTGAGTCAAACTTGTCCAGCATTGGTGAAAAAAAAGAAGTTTCTTCTTACAGGCCTTTCTTTACGCACGCACGACCACGAACGCGCACGGAGGTCTTGGCAGGACCGAGTGGGCCGTTTCCAACCTTTTTTTTTTAGGGGCGTGGTCAGGGGCGGCACTCTCCAAGCGCAGCCAAGTTAAGGATAAAATGTGGATAAGTGATGCTTTAGCAGCTTTGGTGCAAGAATCCCGAAAGAGGAAAGACCCTCGCTCTCTCTCTCTCTCTCCCTCTTTTCAAACGGAGTGAAGCGACCACATCACATCTTTGATTTATGTCATATGGCAGCCAGCGACAGTCATCACCGCTCCACCTGAGCTCTGCTCAACTTACTTTGAAGGCGGACTTTTTTTTTTTCCTCTTTGCTGCTGAAGTTTTCTCACAGCCAGATCTCTGTCAGGATCTCAAGAAGCGGGCTGCATTCCAATTCATTAAAGGTAAATTATTTCCTAAGTCTACCTTAAATCACACCACTCCATTTCCATTTCAAGCTACATTAGCCTACTCTTCGCGTTTTCCATTAGCTATTGGCACGTTGTATCAGCTTCTGTCAGCGTTGCAGCATGCATACCAAAAACGGGAAATATATGTATGCATGGAGTATTGTGAATTCATTAGCTGCATTGTGCATTCTGTGCAATAAACTACATACAGCTGTACTGCTAAATGTGATTCAATGCCGTATTTATTTTGAGCAGCTCCCAAGCTGTCTTTTTATTAAGGAAAAAAGTCCTCAGGGAAGTTCAACACCAGTCATTTCTTTAATTCACACCTTCACCAGTCATTCCCAGTCTGCCAGCTTTCCCCCAGTGAACTCCATGAGGTTACCCGTGGCGCTGCACCAAACCATGTGTCTGCAAGCCAATGCGGTGTCCTCACCAAGTTCAATATTGACCCAAGTTATTCAGCACATTTGATACACCAGTTCCAATCCTTCCAATAATCCTGTTTTGTTCTCTCCTCTCGACTTCTTTTGCCAGCTCACACTGTAGACGGAGTGTCTTTCTGTGCTGGCTCGCTCCCTGGACCTCGCCATCCACCCTGCCTAAGTTTGAGAGGATAACCATCACCATCCTCACAGTCTCCAGGATGAGGCATGTATCTCCGCGCTGGCTTAGGGACGTGTCCCTGCTCCTGCTGCTCCAGACGGCCACTTCCATGGTGATGCTTCCTAACTCCAGCTGGGAGCAGATTCTGGACAAGTATCTGGACGAGGAGGGGGACTGGTGGGAGGCCAAGCAGAGGGGGAAGAGGGCCATTACCGACGGTGACGCTCAGCTCATCCTGGACCTTCACAACAAGCTCAGAGGCCAGGTTTACCCTCCTTCTTCCAACATGGAGCACATGGTAGGTGGACGGAGGATGCGGAGGTTTTGTCTGTGGACATTGAATCCCATGAAGTAGTGCATATGTCTTCATGCTGTTTATGCGTGTTAAAAACGCTTTGAGCCCATTCTGAACTACATAAGAGTCTTGCACACTTGTGGACCATGTAGCTTAGTGAACTGACCCAGTCACCAGACCGGCTGGCACTTGTCCCTCTTGGCTCACACACACAAGCAGCATGCCAGGTTCTAAGCACCTTCAAAGATGAGGACAGCGCCCCCCCACCACACACACACATACACGTCTGTACCCATGTGACTTTGGTTGTTTTGCCAGAAGAAAAGAATTCCACCAACTTGCCAATGATCACATTACTACTGCGTTTTTCTTTTACTCATGCTGAGAGATTTGTTTGACTTTATCCTTTGGCCATCACGTGTGTGTACAGCGCCAGATCACTTTTCAGAGTGCAATTAGAATCAGAGCACGGCACCGGGGCTTGTTTTACCAGCTGTCTACCCCCCACTAAACACACCCATACACACACACACACAGGCACACCACACCTTCTGTAAGTCAGCGCTCCACAGATCTGGAACTTTTCCAAATACACTACATGTGTAGGCACTGCTTGACCGCCACAGTGCATTGCCACCAACAGTACTTAGGAGGTTGAAAATCAATACAGTGTGCAGAAAGTAATGAGGTTTTATAATCCTTTCATCTCCACTTAAAGAGCTACAGAACAAAAGGCAGTATTATTCGACGGTTAAAGCAAATAAACAGTTCCTGCTGGGGGCAATTGCTGGACTGTGTAATTGTATAATTGAGAGGTTGGACTTGAGGACCCCTTCTGTGTGTGCGTGTATGTGTGTGTGTGTGCGTACATGTACGTGTGTTAAAAGCAGCACTCTGCGTGGCAGGCTTCTGGTTGAGGCACACTCTAGTGGAGAACTGCTGAGCCAGCAGCGCACAGCTCCTTTCTACTGTCTCCTGTTACAGTTTGCAGTTTTTCTTTTAGCTCCTGGGGCACCCAGGGGTGAAGAGGCATGCAACAAGAGGACGTTAGGTGAGATAAAAGAGAGTGAGAGCTGGCAAGGAATACCGTAGGTACATAAAAATAGAGGTGTAAACGTGATAGAGGAGTCGCTCATAGAAAAGCAAAGCAATGAGAGATGGATGGAGGGAAGGACAGAATAGAAAATATAAAGAGTCAAAATCATTTTAAAAAGATGAGATGGTTGAATAGGAGTAATGACAGAGTAAAAGAAAGATGGAGACATTTGGAAGGGGCACAAAGTTAAAAGAGACAATGACTTTTAAAGATACGTGCGGAAATCTTATTTGCAGTTCTATAGATGTCAAAATCTGTCAGGCGAAACACTGCTCAGGTCACAGGGATTGCCAATGATTTTCTGCGCTTTATTTTGAAAGGGGCTCCCTATTTCTCAGATTTTCCTCCAGTCTGTGTTGAACTGCTGTCACCTTTCAGAAACCTCACAGCTGCACTGTACTGGAAGACTTCATAGACATGCTTCCCTGCTCTCCCTACACACCCATGCATGCAGATGCACACACACACACTCACACAAATACCCAAGCGCACATTCATAACAATTTCGCCATCAGCTCTCTTATTGTCTGCCATTGTATTAAACCATAACTGGGCAGACCCTCTGTGGCAATCTTCACAGAAACTCTGAGATAACATCAATTCAAATCCCCATCTTCCCCCCCCCCCTTCATCTGTTTCCTTTTCTTGCCCCCTTTCTCTGCCTCCCTCTCCCTTATCCCTGTGGCTCCGTTCCCATTCTGTCATTATCCAACACGGAGTCCCAAAAAATTCCCTGGATAAGCATTCACACTCCATAGTGATCCACAAAGCTTCAATGCACCTTTAGAAGGGGGGAGAGCAGTTCTGCCTCTCACTCGAATGTTGACCCACAGGTATAAACAGAGAAGTGTCAGCATTTGAAGCGCTGCAAGACAAACAGATGGCATCATGGGAGAAATGGCCCCACCTGCATTGATGTTTAACTTAGCCCTGCGCTCTGGTCTGAGGTGGCAGTGATGTTTGTGGTTTAAGATAAAGCTGTATTGACAGTTTTCTGTTTGGGATGAGTCAGAGTTTTGCTGAAAGCGCCGGCCATTTTAATTTATTGTTGAATAATTTGGCTGTTCAATCAGACAATAATTAAGGTCTAGACTAATAAATTAGCCTTGCATTAACCCAAGATGTTTAATTATGGTAATGTGGACGAGCGAGTGAAATAGACAGCTTAAATGTTAAGAGAAAGTGCTTTAGATTAATAAGATTGCCAAATAAAAATTAATTACCGGACTCCAGTGGCAAAAAAAAATGAAGGAGAGCTGTCTAAACTTCTTTTATCCCCGCAACTTTCTCCTGCAGACTACCTCAGAGCTCACACAGGCCAGCTGGGAGATTGAATCTCTCCAGTGTGTCTTGGGTTTGTCCCTGGGTCAGGTCAGCTGGTTACACCCAGGAAAAACACATCCACTGGTTTTCTCTAGATGTTAAGAGCAGCAGCTGAATATCATAGTAAGAAAACATTTTTGATCCTCTCAAAGACCGTACTGTAGTTCGTATACGTGTGCTCAATTCCACATCCAAGGTCATGCTCCACTGAAGCAAAAGGGACAACAATATCCCAAAATAGCAAAGATGCCACCCGAAAGCTGGAAACTCTCTTGGCCTCACCTGCGCCGGCTGTATCCTGTCCACGGATATCATGGACAGAAGAGGCAAGTGTCCACATTGAACTTGCTTGATGTAATGCCAAGAATGTAGACAGATGGTCTTGCGCACTTATGCACTTATGCGCACTTATAAAGAACACCTTCTACGAATACTTCAGGGAGCGTTGGTCGTAAAATTTTGCAGAGATGCAAAACACATGGAGATCGAATGAGCAAATTCCAATGATCCCACAAATATCTGTGAAGCTCTATGCCCAAGAGGACAACACCCTCAACGTGCATCCTGTCCAGACTGCAATGTCTGTTGGGTTTAGGAGTGACTCAGCTACTTTCTTGGGTTGCTGACATGATGAGCACCAACCACCATTGTTGGTCAGTGAAAAGTGAAAGGGAACTGTGGAAAAAATGACTGCTTGTGTAAAGCTATACTCTAATAGGCTGATATTGTTTATTGTTAAGAATGCTGAAGCGATTATTATTTCCAAGAAATTATAAATCCCAATAGCAGACCAAATCAAGATATCAGGCTACCCTTACCATTACCGGCTCACTTCTGGTGCCCAGTAAGTGAGACAGCTTCCTGATTCAACTCTACAATAATTGGCTACGCTGTTCTGGTCAAACTATGCTCCTGTTATAACATGATAATGGGTGATAATGGTATTCACTGGTTGACAAGGTTCAGACAATGGTCAGCCCCAGGACCTCTGAAGTGAGTTGATGTGGGCTGGAATGTGCTGCATGAAACACTGTTTACTCTATATTGCTGTGGGAAATTAAAGTAGTAGTTTGAGAAGACAATATAGATCATTTTCCCGAGTCACCCCTTTGCCTTTCTGTTTTCTCTCTCTTACACCATCTTATCACATCTCCTCCAATCTCTGCCAGGTTTCTCATGGAATTTATTTATTTTTTTACTCAACGTCAGCTCCTCCAATTCCCATATCTTTCCCCTGCTTTCTTAGTATTTTTCTGCATGCACCATCAACTATGAGCAGGAAACTCAGACTTGCACAGGAAGTACACCTCTGTACCCTTTGGAATGCAACCAGATGACCAAGGAAGAGGAAAAACAATAACCAAAAAACCTGCAAATGAAGTGTCAAGCTAAATACACAATGCTGTGTGCACTGTGCTGAAAGACTTCAGCAGTGGAGGTGTTTTTCTTTTCGGGCCCCCGCAGAAGTGTGGTCAGGGAGTGTGGAGTGTGTGTGTGTGTGTGTGTGTGGGGGGGGGGGGG